TGCACGAGTACATCCCGCTATGCGCATTTACAAAGTACAAGCAAATGGTCAGGATGGCCAGTTTCACTACAAAGGTAACATCATTAATGTTGAGCAAGATATTAATGAAATAGCATCTGTCTTACCTACACTGCCCGAAAACTTAAAAGTCATCATTGTCCAACGTCAAGGCGTCTTTGGCCATATCGATTTCAAAGTTCGACGTGAAAAACTACAGCAAGCACTTAGTCATTCTTTAGAACATAAATAATATCGGGCAAACAAACGGTGAATCTGTTGAAAGGGAACATATTGTAGGTTGTTAGCTGCTTTAGCCATTGACAATCTTTAAATAATGCTTCGCTCATTTATGCATCTAAAGTGTAACGGCAGACCACCCTAGTAATAAATTGAGGCTCATTATTAGCGTAATTTTGCACATTATAATGAATGTGGAAAGCCATATGTAGGCCTAGCTTCTGAGATCGTTTCCACATTGGCTAACGTATTGCTAAATAATTATTCAAAGAAAATAGATACAAACATAATGTTTTTGGTTGCATTTATCATATTGTAAGTACAATGAATGTGGAAATAGATGGACTTTACATATTTACTTTGTTAATTTGATAATCTATACTATTAAATAACAATCTCATGGTGTCTGTATTATATGTCTGTTATTCAACGTAGTAAAAACTACTAGACAGATAGGGCTTAAATTTTACAAAATATAGCTACCATACCAAGAATGGTAATACAGTAGTAGGACTAACTTATTGCCACTTCATTATTTCTAGAGACTTTGGGATTTGTAGAGACTAGCATCTAACAATTTGTTCAAATAAAATTAATTTTCAATTTTCAATAGGAATATTGTGTTTTAGTCTACCTGAGGAAATCATAAGTTAGCGACAACAAAATTTGAAATTTTCATTTTGAAGGCATACTTACTAAAAAATTTATTTTCTTCGAATAATTACTAAGCAAAACGTTTGCCATTTTTTTAACGATTTCAGAATCCAAGCCTCCATATGGTTTTCCACAATATTAATAGAATTTTTTTTCACATCAACATTCAGACTGGAGTCTGAGACTATGATGCTTTTATTGTTAGATGGTGCAGTAGGCTACTTATTTTTTACTAGTATGCTTACTTAACAGAAACACCGGTTTATTTATTTGAAGTGCTATTTATTTAAGTTATTTTAATCACTTAACAGCAGCTTTTATCAATAAGATAGACAAATAAATAAGGAAATAGTACGGCATTCTCACCTAAAAATCACTTCTCGCGTCTATATTTACACGAATCAATGTCGTATTCTAAAATTTTCTCAAATCTAAGTTAACATTCGTGAAAATGTTTCACATAAAAACGAGAATTGTTTTAAGATGTCTAATTTGACCGAAGAATAGCATGAAGCCATTGTTGCTGATGCTGCTGATCGCTTAGAATCTTAAAACACTGTATTCATTTTTGATTGAGCTTTCGTAATTATTCTTGCATCCAGGCACATCACATCTATCTGACATGCTGTAGTAACAAGCTCAATGTCATTACTAATGATTAAGGGTAGTAGAAACGTGATTATGTAAGTCGGTACGCGACTCCTCCATTCACTGTAATGGTAAGACGACCGCGCATCAAGACACGGATGCGACGTTGCCTTGTTTCGCTCGCCGCGGCCTTGTATTAGAGGTGGCTGTGGTTCAATACATTGAGAGCAGATGTTCGAGAATTCCCTAGATTTTCAGCAGACTCTTTTAGAGAAAGTTTAACAACATACCTTCCACTTTCAGTCCTAGAGTGTGTTGATTGAAAGTGTTCTTCACAAGTTTGATTTTCAGGAGATAAAACCTGAACTGGATCTTTGGCAAAATCCTCCTGTTCCCAAAACTTCCCAAAATCCACATGGCCCAGATAACACCAAACCAAAGATGGTTGATTGAGCAATAGGAGTTAGAGGCGGACCCTTCATAAGTCCAGGAAGAATGATACTTCCATAAACATCAGCTCCAAGTATCAAATCTACAGACCCAGGGGTCATGAAATCTTGATCAGCTAGTTGAAGCTTCTTGATATGATGCCAGTTAGATTTACCTGGGCCCTATTGCATAAAACTACAATTTTACAAGTTTACAGGCAAATTTCTGAAGAATTCTTCAGAAATTGTAATTACAGGTGTTGCAAGAACTACAAGTTACAGACTTGTAACAACTACTCAAAAACCCAAATTTACAGGCATTTTTTAACAATTTTACAGGTATTTTGTATTTTGTAACTTGTATTTTCAATAAAGTTATTACAGTTTTACATATACATACCTGTAAAAATGTAAGAATTTTTTACCTAGCTTCTTTGGCCTGTAAACCTTTGCTGCTATTGTACAAGTTATTCTTTTTTAAGACAAAGATGTGGAATAGTGATGATTCTCCTGATCCACAACGCCGAAGAAGGACCTTCAAACTGGAACTTAAAACTAAACAACTATAATATTTTTATAATGTTATAGTAAGTGAAGATGACATAGTCAAATAAGGAATATAGCATTGATGATCATTAAATTAATTAGTTAACTATTGATTAATATTAATTTAATAGACTATCCACTAACTATAAATACCCCCGCCACAGCAACCCTGCCGACTAAGCGAATTACCATTTGTCTGAATTGATTTTTAATTAACCTAAATCTATTTAAATAACATTAGGCTTAACGAGTACGTAGGTTTGCTGCTACAAGGCAACTAATAGTGTATTTTTCAGTAAAATAATAATAGCTTAGTATAAAATAAATAAATTTGCCAAGATTGATAAAAATATATCAATAATATAACCAAGCAAACTACAACATTTTCAATATTCTCCATAAGAATAACATGGGAGTTAGAAAAATTTTAAGTTTTTTTTTAAATTTTCTCCGTTACCAATAACCGTACAAAAATACTTTGATTTACTAAATTATTTGTTTTTTAAGCTCTTTAAAAAGGTCTGAAGAGAAATTGGGAAATTTTGTGTTTTGAGGGTCAAAAATTAGAAAACCATTTTTTACCCCATAAAACCCCCCATGAAACCCCGTTCCCTTGGTCCAATCATGCTGGTTCGTGAACTCGTAAGAATAAACGTAGGTTACACGTTTGTACCAAATTTCATCAAAATCAAATCATTTTTGCTTGAGTTATCGCGCTAACGGACACACACACACACACACAAATATATATGAATTAGGTCGGAAGGTGTTTTTGGCATCAAATCGAAAAAGTAAATCGTTCCCGGGTCTAGGTCTTACCATAAGACCTACGGTAATAGCTTATTCCCTATATGGGAAATTCGAAGACGTATGTGTAATTTTATTGTAAAATTGTAATCAGCTGTTAACATTTTTTGTACTTGTTCTTACAAGTATACAAATTATTCTAGCAACACCTGTAATTGATAAATTGTAATTACAGGGACCTGTAAACTCTAAATATGTAAACTTGTACTTGTAGTTTTATGCAATAGGCCCCTGGTGTCATAGTAGGTAACTTAGCAGTGAGTTTTGGCAGAATATGAGCTGTTAACGGACAGATGAATTTGTCATTAGATGGACTCCCAAAGTTAAGGGACACTACTCCACGAGTAGTTGATGTTTGATTTCCTCCGATACCGATAAGAGAGAGTGAGGATGAGGAGCGTTCAATATGAAGAGTCTGCACTAGATGCTCGCTGATGAAGGAAATTTCGGAGCCTTGGTCGATTAGAGCTCTACACACAATGTTGTTACCTTTCGGGCCGATTACTCTAACTTGAGCAGTAGCTGAAAGAACTGTGTGTCGATTTCCAGTGGGAAGAGAGTGATTTGAGGACACTTGTGGTGTGTTTGATGATTTTCTGTGGATTTAGGGTTTGATAAGTGGATTTTATTTGACTAGATGTATCAAAAGATTTACTGGCAGCATCATGAATCAATGTATGGTGGCGATTACCACATTTTACACATGATTTTTGAGATCGGCATTCTTTGATTAAGTGAGGGCCAAGACAGTTGAAACATAACCTTTTATTTGATAAGAAGTCCTTACGTTGAACAGGTGTTTTAGCGAGAAACTCTTTGCAATATACTATGTAATGAGCATGAATACACAGTTTACACATAGGCTACCTTTTTCTTTAGATTCTGCTACCAAAGCTGCATTTATCTTAGGATTGTGCTGAGGTTTACCTTGATGTTTTGGTTGATTCACCATTCCACTCGAGTGAGACACTTCCCTGGCTTCGATATTCTCTAAAGCCCGTACACGTCCTTCGATGAAGGTCTGTAGGTCTTGCAGCGATGGTTCCGTCGATACGCCTTGGTGAAGCTCCCATGCCTCATGTGTATCAGGGTCAAGTCAAGGAGGTCCAGCATTTCCGATTTGTTGATGAGGTAAGCTTCTTTTCCGCGGCTGTAGTGGTCTTCATTAAGATAGTCGAGATTTTCCAGCAATTCGGTGTATTTCCACAATACACACTGTCATAAGGGCGGGTTAAAAAAACGTATCACTTAGATAAAATCCATAGGTGATTTGGCGGGGTTTGAACCCGGGACCCCAGGAACCGGAGTCCCGCGCTCTATAACCACTAGACCAGCTCGCTCCCCCAAATTTGAATGGGGAATAAATATGTCTTGTTTAAGGAAATATTTTAGTAAATATCAGACAAATTGAAATTCGCATAGTCTGCAGGTTTGCTGAGATGGGGATATTTTGATATTTGTCGTAGATGATTGCTCATGTACCGCTGTAATGTCAACGGAAACTTTATGTTGAAATTTACGTCCTGGAAAACTAATGAAGATTCTGTCTCAAATTTTAAAATATATCCATCCGAAAAAGTTGGATATTAACGGATAGTTTCCAATATAAAATTTAGGCTCGGGTTGAATCCAACCCAATTTTCCAGACATCCGTACACCTCTATTTACATCATTCAATAGCTGTCTTATGAAAAGCTACTCTTAAATGAAACATTGAGTGAGTTATGGTTATTTGTGCAGGTGTTTGACTTGCGCCAGTGCCACCGCCAGATGCAACAGCAGGCGGCAACAGCCCAGGCAGCAGCTGCGGCTCAGGCGGCAGCTGTGGCAGGACACATACCAGGTCCTCACAGTGTGGGCGGCATCGCACCAGCTATCAGTGAGTCAACACTTGTCAACTACAGTAGACTCTCGCTCATCCGGATCGGCCTTGTCCGGACTCCCGCTAGTCCGGATCGGCAATCGTGATTTTTTTTTTTTTTAGCGGCACAGTTTTATCAAATAAACTTCGGATCGGCAATCGTGATTTTTTTTCTAGCGCCGCAGTACGTATATTCAAATAAAAACGGACCTAACTTTACGTTTCAACGCCTTCAATTTATTGTGCGAGCAAGCCCGCATCACATTAACGGCATACATTTTGCGTTTTCAGGCGTTCTTTGAAAAATCAATAATCATAGTGTCGACAACACGTGCCATTTTGGGAGTGGGAGGGGGCATGTCATTAACCTTTGTCTGACCGTCTGCGACCTCACCTGTACCTGTCAATCTGACCGTTGCGTCGCGTGCATATTGTGTTCTGTATTGAGTTCTTTAAAGTTTGACTGTTGCGTTGTGCGTATTGTGTTCTGTGTGTGAGTTCTTTAAAGTCTGACCGTTGCGTTGTGCGTTTTGTGTTCTGTATGTGAGTTCTGAATTGTGATAAAATGAGTTGTGATAAACGTAAGAAGTTGTTTGTGTCAGTTGAAGAGAAACTCCGTGCTATCAAGCGTATTGATGCTGGTGAAACGGCGAAAAAGGTTGCCTTCGAGCTAGGAGTTGGGACAAGTACCGTTTCAGACTGGAGAAAAAATCGGGAACAAATTGAAAAATGGTGCACCTCTCAAACTAGTGTAAGCGCAAGTAAGGTGAGAAAAACAATGCGTACCGGTAAACATAACGAAGTTGAAGAGGCGTTATTTTTGTGGCACGAACATTTAAGAGGTAAAGGTGTTCCTGTTAATGGCCCCATGCTCCAAGAAAAAGCGAAGTTTTTCAAACGTGAAATTGAGGGGGATGATGGAAAATTCGCTGCCAGTGACGGATGGTTAGATCGCTGGAAAAAGCGATATGGAGTTCGGCAATTGTCCGTAAGTGGGGAAGCTTTATCTGGGAACAAAGACGCTGTCCCAGAATTTAAGACTTTCCTTCATAATCTCCTTGACGAAGAAGGAATTACCGGCGATCAGTTGTACAACTGTGATGAAACTGGCTTGAACTATAAAATGTTGCCCACTAAAACGCTTGCCTCAAAAAAAGAAGCTGCTGCACCGGGGTACAAAAAAAGCAAGGAAAGAGTCACGGTGTTAGCTTGCTGCAATGTCACTGGCAAGCACAAGCTCAGGTTAACTCTGATTGGAAAATCAAAGAAGCCTAGGGCCTTCAAGAATTTGAAGAAAGACAAAGTGTTGCCATTATGGTACACTAACCAGCAAAAGGCTTGGATGAATTCGGCTATTTTTAAGACTTGGTTTTTTAATGAATTTGTTCCAAGTGTAGAAAAACATCTAGCAGCTAACAACCTGCCGAGAAAAGCAATTCTGTTGTTAGATAATGCTTCAACTCACCCCATTGCTAACGAGTTAAAGGACGAGGACATTAAAGCTGTTTTTTTGCCACCAAATGTCAGTGCCCTTTGTCAGCCAATGGACCAAGGAGTACTTCAAGCACTTAAGTTGAAATACCGCCACCGACTTCTTTCTCACATCATATCGGCAATAGACCTTGATGAAGATTATATCACTGCATTAAAGAAAATTGATGTCTTGGATGTAATTAGGTGGGTGGCTGAAGGATGGGAAGAAATCCCGCCCATGACGATTGTTTCATCGTGGAAAGCTCTGTTAGACCACGAGGGCAACAAATTCACGGAGATTGACGGCGGGGAATTTAAACACGACGAGAACCATGTGGAAACAGAAAATGTTGTCTCACTGTTGGAGAAAATTCCTGGATGTGACGAAGTTAATGAAAGTGATGTACTAGAGTGGATGAACAATGACGACGAAGATGAAATCACCGACGACGACTTCATAAGAATGGTGTCAAATGACGACGAAGTGGTGGACGAAGAGGACCTACCTGAGCCCAAGCCAACCATTCCACACTCGGAAGGGTTCAAGATGCTGGACGGAGCCCTGGAGTACGTCAGTCGTCTAGATGGCGTGTCTGCTGCCGACATAATGTGCTTACGGAAGCTGAGGGACATGGCGGCAAAACAACGAGCCAAGACGGTAAAGCAGGCCACGATAAAAGACTTTTTCAAAACATAAGTCGTACTGAACTGTAAGTTACGTCAGTTTTAAAATACGTTACAGTACATTTTTTTTAAATTTAACTTATAGAGTAAACTGTCTAAAGTTACTGTACTGTATTTTTTATTTACGTCAAGTTTGTGAGGTTTAATTTTCCAATTGTAACTTTTTGTTTTTTATGACAGTTAACTTCCTAAAAGTAGGCCTATGTAGCTAAAGTTTTATTTTTTGCTTTGTTATTTACGTCAAGTTTGTGAGGTTTAATTTTCCAATTGTAACTTTTTGTTTTTTATGACAGTTAACTTCCTAAAAGTAGGCCTATGTAGCTAAAGTTTTATTTTTTGCTTTGTTATTTACGTCAAGTTTGTGAGGTTTAATTTTCCAATTGTAACTTTTTGTTTTTTTTAATGACAGTTACAACTTCCTAAAAGTAGGCCTATGTTGCTAAAGTTTTCTTTTTTGCTTTGTTATTTACGTCAAGTTTGTGAGGTTTAATTTTCCAAATGTAACTTTTTGTTTTTTATGACAGTTACAACTTCCTAAAAGTAGGCCTATCTAGCTAAAGTTTTCTTTTTTGCTTTGTTATTTACGTCAAGTTTGTGTTTACGTTTATATTTTGTTGTTGCAATAAAACAATTTTATGTTCATTTCGTGAACTATTTATTTAACTCCTGTGATTTATTGCTGTACTGTTGTACTGTATAGGCTACTGTAAATAGTTTATACATTTAATGTATGGTAAATTGCTTTATTTTTTACAGTTCCCGCATTACTATGCTACATTTTTTATCAATACAGTACAGTAGTGCTATTGTAAATTACAGTACAATAGCCGACTGTAATTTATTACGATAGTTTTAACTTGTTTTAGACGCTCCCGTTTGTATTAGCGCGTGTTTTGACGAAACCGCTCGCCGTAACGGCAAAATTTACGAATATTTGCTTGACTCTCGATAGTCCGGATTTTTCGTAATCCGGACCGGACGTCCGCCACATTAGTCCGGATGAGCGAGAGTCTACTGTATCACTAAAACTTTACTAGTTTGAATACCAAATGTTTTATTTTTTATCCTTTCTTCTGAGGAAATTCTTGAGAAAGATATTTTCTAGTTATAGCTAACGTTAGAGTTCTTGTTACAGATAAGTACCTGGGGACAGAGCTTTGCTCGGGGAAATTTCTGAGAGTATTGTTTGGTCAATGTCATCTGACCCAAAAATATTGTTTTGCAGTCTATTTAACTTCTGTTAAAATAATATCTTAGTTGAATTTGACTGAAATAATAAGAAAAAATAGTTTTTAAAAATTTGTTTAAAGCCCCTAAACTACCTAAACTAAAGAAAATGCCCAGTATTTTTCACCCTGAATTTGAAAAAGGCTATCAGTAGGAAGAAAATCTTCCTTCCTTCTCTTGAAGTATTAGTCATTGCAAAAACTTGCTCCCCAAAACCTTAATTTTCCTAATATGTAATACCATTTTCCGGAAACTCAGGACTTTTTCCATTTGAAAATTATTACATTTTTGGATTTAGTGAGAAGAATTCAGTAAGGGGACACATTTTAAAGCAATTTTTATTCGGGTGGGTTGTATTAAACTTTTGCCATAAACAATACTTTACACTAAAATGTTAGTTAGGAGGTGCATTTAAAGACCAAAATTAATCTCTTGACACAAATCCTCATCTTATGCACACAAAAGAAACTAATGTTTGTACAATGCTGAAATATATTGATAGATTAGCCTCTAAAGCAAGTGTAGGCTTTGGCATTTGTCAGCTTGCAACATTTCGCGACAGGCGACACGCTGTATGCTGATCCAACCTATAACCAACTTAACTGCAATTCATAACCTATCAAATGAATTTGCCAAACATAGCTTAGTTTTAAAGCTTATGGTTGTATCTATACCAACATTACTACACCATTGTACATAAACTTGGCTTATTCCTTAGAAAAAGCCATGAATAGGTCTAGTATGGTAAAAAATAAGGTTTCCGAGGGAACCGCAGTTAAAATCTGTGGTAAATTTAAACCCAATGATTAAAACTTGTCACAAATGACTCTTGTTTAATTTGTCACAGTAACTTATCCTATATATAATATGAGTAAAGTTTGAATACTTGTTACTTCGATTTTAGAATTGGCACATATTAACACTTTTATACTTACAGTATAACTAAGTTCTGTGCCAAAAATAAGTTCTAGACCTTTGTTATATCCAGAAAAAATCTATAACCGCCATAATATGTGTATAAACTTGGGATATTTTCGAGACGAGATTATAGGCCGTTAGCTAATCATCCAGGTGAGACCCGTAGCCTCTTTAGCTGAAAACTATCGCCACTTCGAAATTTGCGTTGACCGAGAAACTTTTGGGAGCTTAAATTACGCACACAATTGGACAAAATGGGATTTATTACTTCATTAATTCACTAAAATTAAACAATTATGATCTCACTAAAATTATACAATTAAGGTTTAACAACAACTTTTTACAAAAGAATTTATATATTGAATTTAGAGTAAAGAAATAAAATTTAGGTTCAAGGGAGCGCGGAGTCGCGCCTGTTTTAATTGAGATTTCATCGCGGACTGCGGTGTTCTTTAGTTGTCGGCAGTGCTGATGCACCTCGCGGACCAATCAGCGTTCAGCGTAGTCACTGAGTGGCACCCTGCGCAAGGCTCAACCTCTTTGTCTGCCAAATGCACTCCCTAACGGAGGCTAGCTCCGTCAGCAGAAAGCCCGAGTCTACACCGGCAATGAACATATTCCAGCTTCATAACTTTTGCTACTAGAATATTGTTGTAATTTAAACGTGGTTGGAGATAGTTTGGCGTTGCTAAGATATTCATATGGAGACTCAATTA